AAGAAGAATATTTTTGTCAAAATAAGTTCAGCATTTATGAGTAAATATTTGCTGTAATTCTATATATTTACGATGCAGCGACTTCTTGTTAAGAAGTGCAATTTCATTTAGACCACGTGGGACGGGTCACTATTTTCAGTGTCAATTTTATAGTTATGTACCTATATATTCGACCTGAAGCAGCAGCTTAGAATAGAAGGCACAAAAATTTGTGAGTCAAAAAATCAGAACCTGTTAGGTGGGAAAAAGCTTACATTTAGACTATAATACATTGTCTTAAACAAATCTCACAAAACAAATGCATTGTATGACACAAAATATGACATCACATAGGAAAATGGTAACACTAGCACCAATTGGAAATCAGATGTAACAGTGGATGTAAATCATTTTCATGATACAATACTGATAGTCTGAGCAATTAAAGGCTCATATATGCATTAAAAAAATTTAATGCTGGTAAAACAAATTAATTATTCACTTCTTATAAGTTCTCATTGTAAATTATTTTTAGAAATTCCATGTTGTTGTTGTCGTGTGCCATTAAGGCACTCAGTGATGTGATTGTTTTTGTTTTTCAGTGGGCCATCTACGGCCAAGAATTCGACTTCTGCCACACCCAAGCATCACACCTGCTTATAAGGCAGATCCATTCATTTATCCACTTATAAAAGTATATTATGAAGTTGTTCGAAGAACTAAATCAAATTTGAAAGAAAAATATTTTTTCATGAATTTTTCAATATAAAGTAAAAACAAATGCATGAAAAACAAACATACCTTAGATTGCAATGAATAAGGGTTGGATCTCTTATTCCCATTTGGGAACTCCTGATGGAGAAAAAAAAATTAAAAAGTATTTGATACACTTGAAAGAAAAAATAGATAAATAAAATTAATAATGCACAATAATATTTATCTGAAACATATTCTTAAACTATGAACATGATTTAATGAGGAATTCAATATTTTCCAAGCAAACATTTTTTACATAAGCTTTTATTGAATCAACTAGAATACTGCTCAAAAATATTTTTATATTTAAAAAAAAATAAACAAACAAAAAATGTATGAATGATGGAAAAAACTTGCATGTCTAAATTAAAAGCTATGAGATTCCTATAGAAATATATTCTTAAAATTAAACTTACTTAAAACTTATTTTTTACTCAAAACTTATTATTGAACTTGTTTTTTAATACAAATTAATTAAGAGATCAAAGAAGTATTTTTAAAGTATTAAACTTGATATTTTTTTGAGTAAGAACAATATAAAAAAGTTTACTCAATAACTGTTTTATTTAACTGCGTGTTACAAGTGGCCATCGATAACATTTATAAAAAAAAAAAATATTAAAAATAATTTATGCCAAAAAATTAATTTTCAAGTACCATGAATGAAAAACCATTTTTGAATAGTAGATAAAAAAACAACAATTATAACAAATTCATAGGAGGGCAAAAAGTTGAAAAAAAAAGAAAAAAACAGGAAATTAAAATATTCATTTACTTCAAACTATTAATAAAAAAAATTGAAAATTGTTACTAATCAGTATGAGACGAATGTGATGGCCTCACCTATAATTATTTTTATATGTTTTTCAATATTTGAAATCATAATAAACAAGACTTTGAAAACAAAATTGTTGCAATCCAATTATTAGAGACAAATTACAAATTATATCAGTAAATGATGCAGAATACAGCTGGAAAAATATTTTTTCTGGTATTCTTATTTTCTTAGTATTTTTTATTTAAGACAGTTCAGGAGCTAAATTGAGAATGCTATAAGCCACTTTTGGCCCACCAGCCATAGGTGAATTCTTTACATTATTTTATTCATACTTTTTCCATTAATCTTCTGTTAAACTTTTAGAAACTTCCATATCATTCCAGTGGACACTAATGATAATCTTTTAATGCTGTATTGAGTCCCCATGGACTACAAAGCAACTTCAGGAAAAAGGGAGGTCACTTTAAAATTTAAAATTATTATAATCTCATTGATAAGTAAAGTTTAAAACAGTCAAACTTGAAGGTGAAATAAAAATGCTTGTTCTTGTGTCCACAAACAATTATCCCTGTTCTTTGTGCTGTTCCTTGTTTCAATGCATTACATTTTGTAGAATTGTGTTCTAAAAAGAAGAAAAAAAAGTGACTCAAAGGGTGAAAGAAAAAGAAAAGATTTATTTAAAAACATTTAACATTAAGTTACTAATGTTTATTATTAGAAAAAAAAATGCAGTTTAAAAAAAAATAATTATAATAATAATCTATATTTAAGGAACTATTTTGAATGGGAAATTAACTCACTAACAACTCTAACACTTATTTGCTTTTAACAATATTTGATCACTTTACATAAACCAGAAAATGAGTTAAACTAACTTCATCATTCTCTAAATTAATTTTTTAAAAAGTACACCAGATCATTAAGAAGCATCTTAATGATCTGGTGCTTAAGAAGCATCTTAATGATTAAGTGCTTATTTAAAAAGACAGCAATCCATAAAAAAATTTATTTCCTTACAATAAAAAAAGTCCCAACAAAAGGCCGAGACATTAAAAAACATTAAAAAAAAACTAATACAGAAATTTAATTTTAAAAAAAGCTCCCAGTTCCCGGTCTTTTAAATGTCATTGTTTGATAATTAAATAATTGTAATAAAGAAGTCTCACCGAAATAAGTATAAATCCTTTACCAAATAAAATTATAACAATAAAGTGAAGAAATTTTTTTTTAAAAAACATGTAACTTATTTCTTAAGCAACAACCTATTGATAGGACCTTCACTTTCTGGTAAATTTGATTTATCACCATTTTTGATGCAAAAAATTTAATGAATATTATAAAAAGAAAGCTTTTGATAAAGCTAAGAAAAAAATTCTAGAATTTTCATAACATTAATTATGAAATCCTTAGTCAGGGTAGATTCTTTTATCTTTTTAAGAAAACTATTTTAACTGGTGAAAGTTTGAATTTCTATTTTTTTTTCTAGTAGCAACAGATGAAAATGCAATTTCCTAATGATAAAGCAATTTTAACTCTATATTGGATGAAATTCCTTTTGTTTCAAAAGATACAGTTATGAGGGAAACTCTTTGGTTTGAATTTTCTATATTTAATAAATGGATGTATTCCAAATTACATTGCTACTTATGTGATGACAATNTTTATTAAAATTTGAAATAATATATCAGGGTAAAAGAAAAGAAAAAAAACAAGGAAATTTTACTACTTTGAAAAATAGCTAATAGAACAAAGGATTGGTAAAAGGTTGAACTGTTAGAAACAAACAAATAGAGTAAAATAAAGCTGTAACAATAGTTTCAACTACTATTGATATTAAAATTAATTTGATATTGCAATATACTTCTTAGAAATTTTATATAACTCCATTTGGATCAAAAATTAGTAAACATAAAATAAACCACAAGATTATATTTTTCACAAGAATAAAGCTCAAAAATTCTAAAATAGGCAAGATCAAGAATAGACAGGAGTTCAAGATTTGCTGTGATATAAATCTACTTATAACATAGACATACAAAAAGAAATGAATAGTTTTAATTTCAAATAAAAAGCAGACGAGTTGTAGAATGTTTAGTCTTACAACATTTGTCGGCGAAAATTCTTCAACCCATGTTCAAAATTATCTTTTCCGCACTAAACAAATCTTCGTATTTTCCGCTTTTGTGAAGTTCATAATAAAGCGGAGTTATTATTAATCAATGCAGTTTTAAGATTTCGCTTTTGCCATAAAAGCTGTCTTAACCAAAATTATTATTTATTTTGTTTCACTTATTCTCTGCATGCTTGTGAGTTCAATTATATAATTACGGCTTAAAAGCCATAGTAAAGTATAAAGACTTTATTACGGCTTCCACAGCAGTCATTTGTATTTGTTTATTTTATGCAAGAGCTATAATAATTTTTGAGCTTTATGCTGCAAAATTATGAGCTTATGGCTTTTTAACGCATTGCAGAGATTTTAACTATAGTACTATGTAAGCTATAATTTAATGTTATATTTTTTTTCGATCACAGCCAGTGGAGAAACAGGCCAACTTATATTTCTGTTATTTAGCCTCTGAGTTACACATTTTAGCAAGTCAATAATTAAAATATTTGCAACACAAAACACATTGTAAAGTACAAATAATGTTATTATAATGTGTTGTGAAAGAGTCAAATATCTTAAATCTCATCACCATCNATACTCAACACACAGTTCGTAATACTTTCATAATACATAAACTATAATAACTAAACTGATCTGTTTTGTGATTTTTTTATATAAGTTAGTTTTGACGAGTTTGATATTCGCCCAAATCAATTAAGGACGTATGCTGGTTATGGACAGATACTTGCTGGCAGAAAGAATAAACGTCGCTCTATGCTTTCCAAGTTGATTGATAATAAAGATAAAAAGTTAGTACTCATTTCTAAATCCTTTTATACAAGTTTCGAACTCTCCAGCTTCCCCCCCCTTTTTTTATTTATTGTAATATAGATATGTACATCAAACTAACTTTTACTTTTGTTAACTACAATATATATCTATTTTTAAACAAAATTTTTACAATTAATAATGTTTTATTTCTTAATTTTTAACAATGACAGTGTTTTCATCATAGAAAAAAAATGGGTGAGAATTTCTCACCCTTTCTCAAAAACAGCGTGGGGTTTCAAAAAGTTAAGTGAGATTTCTAAAAACTAAAAAAACACAAAAATTCTCGAAAATAAAAATCATTTCTAATTATAATACTTTTTTAACGTCTTCTTTTTTTTAAAGCATTGAATATTTTTGGTGCATCATCATAGAAGATTTTGCCTTTACAAGGTATTTGTCCATCTAACATTAGCACATAAAAAATTTGAATATCTTACATGAAGAAACCTTACGTATATTACGCATATTATAATCACGTAGTTGCAGAGAAATGTGTTATGAAAGGGATCCCGTGGTTGTGTTCTGTTGTTCGAAAAGGTTCTGAACAATACTGGTAAATAGGGAAGCTAGATAACGGGGCAGATGCTGGAAATAATGAAAGATCCAGGAAGAAAAAGGATTTTATTCTAAATGGCGTAATTCGAAGCTTTTTCCAAAATGCGAGAAATTCGCGAATTTTCAAATTTGATTTATAGCATGCGTTCATTTCTCGCGGTAATAATTTTTTAATGCAAGAAAAGAAAAAAAAATGCGAGATTCTCG